TCCTTTGATATTAGTAGTCCCCTTGGAAGGGGGATTGGGATTACTAATCTCTTGGTATTACTAATAGGGTGTTTGTTTTGAGAGATGGGGAAGAGACTATTAATCCTTTGATATTAGTAGTCCCCTTGGAAGGGGGATTGGTAAGGAGGAGATAGAGATTGTATTAGAAAAATAGTGAGGGGATTAGAATTTTTTTTTATTATTTTTATTTTTTTTATTTTTTATATATTGAGAATTTTTTTTAAAAATATTAATGTTTAATTTTTATATTTTTTTATTTGTTTTATTATTTTATATAAAAATAATTTAACAATTCCTCACTATTAATCCAATCACTAACAATCTTCTCACTATTAATCCCCTCACTATGAATCCCCTCCATTCTATCTCTAAAAACAAACGGGGCCTTAAGGAAATAAAAGAAAGGAAAAGAAATGTTAGTGTAAATTTAAATGTCATTGTAAAATATTCTAACCAACCAAACAGACCAGCAATGGTTAATTTGATTTTTAATGTCAATTTTGATTGTTATAGGATGCCCTGAAGAAGTGTGTGTTGGATTTGGTTGATGGCCTACTCAGAATCTGTCTCAATCTCCACACCCATTTTGCCTTTCTGAAAGCCCCTGTAGATGGCCCATAGTTCAGCTTCCATGTTTGAGCAATGTCCTAGCTTGCCATAATATCCCCATATCCAGGTTCCAGCTTTATCCCACAGTAATCCTCTATGACTAGCTTGTCCTAGGCCACCTTTAGAGCACCCATTTGTATTAAATTTTAGTTCACCTGCAGATGGGATACATCAATTAATTAATCTAGGTTGGGGTGGGGAGGGGATTAAAAAGCCTGATCAGTCTCCTGAACATAATTCCTTATGTTCTTGAGACTGGTTTGAATGGGGTTAGCCAAGTTTTCAAAAAGCATTTTGTTGCGATCCTTTCAAATCTGCCAAAGGGTTACAACGAAAATGAGGTACCATTTGTTACCAAAAAATAGCCTTTTATTTCTCATGTTGGAAGTAACCCATTCAAACAAAGGTTGTCCACATCCTTGCTCCCACCAATTATGATTCATAATTTCAGTCCATACTTCTTTGGATTTGGGGCAATCCTTGAGGAGATGGCTTATATTCTCACTAAATAGCCCATATCTAGGACACAGATCAGAAGTTGCCATGTTCCTCGTAAGCCACAAATGGTTGGTAAGCAATCTTTCTCTCAGAATAAGCCAGAGGAAACATCTTAGTTTTGGGGGAATTTTGGTCTTCCAGATCCATTTCCAATCTTTGTCATCTCTTTTCTGATTGGTAATGATTTTATAGGCAAATGCAGCTGAGAAGTTGCCATTGGAGGACCCAATCTAGGAAGAAGCATCAGTGTAGGTCACATATCTAGGCCTATAAATCTTGAGGATATCTTGGAGGTCTTGTTGGTTGATAAGATTAGCAAGGATATCAGTGTCCCAGTTCCCCTCATCATCAAGTACAAAGCTAACGTTATTTGAGTCATTAACCTGCGGGGTGCTATAAGTTTGGGCTAGAGGCTACTTCCCACACCACCAATCATTCCAAAATGAAATAGATTCATCATTAGCAACTCTCCACTTGATACATTTCCTAAGAGTGTTTCTATTTTTACAGATACTTTTCCAGATGTTCGAGGATTTCTTTTTTTGGGTCTAGCTTAAAAAGGAATTATTTTTTAAATATTTGGATTGAAGCACTTTGCAACATATTTGTTACTATCACTCGGGATGTTCGCCCTAAGCTTGTTGAGGAGGGCTAAGTTTTGGTCCCTGGCCTTTCTGATGCCAAGACCTCCATCTTCTTTACCCTTGCACGCATTATCCCAATTGACTAGATGGACTTTTTTGCTATTTTCAGTATCTCCCCATAGGAAATTTCTATTGATTTTGTCAATCTCATCACAAACTTTCCTAAGGAGCTCCATGGTTTGCATGTTGTAGCTGGGAATGGCAGAAATGACTAACTGGATGAGTGTAAGGAGAGATTTCTGGTTTTCCACCCTGAGAGTCTAGCTTTTAATTTCTCAATAGTCTCATTGAATAAGTTTTTGTTGACTTTTTTGTAAAGAATGGGGGATCCCAAATATTTTTTAAGGACCTGGCTTTGTTGCAAGGGAGGTTGGGGGAAACAAAAAGTTTAGATTTCAGACAATTGACGTTCTGCCCAGATACCTCACAAGATTCATTAAGAACTTCCATGATGGAGTTACAATTGGTATGATCAGTTCTGGCAAACAGGATAAGGTTATCAACCAAAAAAGATGGGATAGAGAAGGGCTATTTCTTGAAGCTTTTATACCTTCCAGGAGCCCTCACTAACTTTGGAGTTTATCATATTAGACAATCTTTCCATACAAACTACAAAGATATAAGGTAAGAGAGGGTCTCCTTGTCTAAGGCCTCTTTCATTACAGATTCCCTCGATGATTTCACCATTCCAGAGGATGGCAGATTGATTATTGGTGACACAACTCATAATCAGATCTATCCAATTGTCATTGAGCTTGAATTCATGCAAGGTATCTTTAATAAAGTCCCAAGATAGTCTATCATAGGCCCTTTCCAGGTCAACTTTAAATATCATACCACCCCCTCTGCCTTTTTTGTTTATCAAAGTATGAATGATTTCTTGTGTGATAATGATATTATTAGTGGTGTTTCTCCCAATGATGAAGCTACTTTGATTTGGGCTAATAATATTATCCAGGAGAGGTCTGATTCTACCCACAATAAGCTCGGTGATGATCTTATAAGAGACATTGCAGAGGCTTATGGGTCTAAACTACTTGATACTCTCAGGGTTATCAATTTTGGGAATCAACACAATTAGGGTCTCTTAACTTTGTCAGGCACTTTATTATTTTGAAAGCATTTTAAAACAAAGTCACACATAGATTTACCTACAGTGATGCAATATTTCTGATAGAATATAGCTTGTATGCCAAGGCACCAATATCCTTGACAGCTCTCAAGATTTAAAGGTTAGATATGGAAAACAGGTTGGTGCAATATTTCTTCAATGATCAAGAATCTGAGTATTAGTTCTTTTGAAGAGATTAGAGAAGTAATCTAAAATAATGGCTTTGATTACTTCTTTCTCATTAATCTTAATTTTCCTTTTCTTGTTGATTGTAGACACAAAAATACCAGGCGTTTCTATCTCTAAGGGAGATATGCTTAGATCTAGATTTTTGAAACCAAAGCATTTACTCTGGGAACAGAGTAACATTATATTGCTTAGATCTAGATTTTTGAAACCAAAGCATTTCCTCTTGGAATAGAGTAACATTATATTGCTTAATGAGGTCCTTTTCTAAGATTTGTAAATTATGAGAGAAGTTATTGGTCAAAGCTCTTTGGATGCTTTCAATCCTAGCCAGTAAATGTCTTTTCCTTTTAAAAATATTACGAAAGACCTCCTTGTTCCACTCTGAGACTCGGAGAGTGAACTCAAGAGCGTCATCATCATTCAAACACATTTTTCCATACACAAAATCCAACAAAAAATCTATTCATCATTCCAAGCACAAACTTTTTTTCACTTCCTAAAATAATTAAATAAAACCACTAAAATTACTTATTCCCAAGCAAAGTCTGAGTCTCACAAGTTTAACATAAATACATTAGTCTCTCTTAATATTTTAATTAACATAATATTTAGTCTTATTTTCATCAATAATTCCTTAACCGTACAAATCAAGAGACGATATTATCATATCTTTTACATTAAAATACATCTTGCACATTGTTTAGCCCTATATCCCCACATCATTTGTATTAGTTTTAAATGTTTTGATCTTTCTAAAAATGGTCATTAGTATAATTATGCTAAATTTGCGAGATTTATTATCTTGTTTGTTTATTAGGCTAAAATAGTCTACTAAAAGACAAAATAGATTAAAATAGTTAATAAAATAAAATATCGCATTCAATCTATAATCATTTTACTTTTTCTTTCACAACTATCAAATCAACTACGGAAAAAAAAACACAAAGAATTTTCAAAACACAACTATTTTAGTCAGGCTAAAGTAATCAAAAAGTCAAATAGTCAACTAAAATAACCAACTTCCCAAAGAAGTCCTGATAAAAACATAAGCTAAAAGTTTAAATCTTCCAACATTTCAACCGTAGCTATCTTTTAAACAAGCAGCAAAGTATACTTATAGTTCTTAATGCTTCCCTCTTGTATCAATTTAGTCATTGTAGTTTCATTTACATCAATTTTACCCTCTTTTTTTTTTTTTTAAATATTGTATCAATTTAGTCTAATGAACAAAATATTTTGTTCACTCTCATCAAAATAATTTAGGGGTTGACGTTTATTCCTTTCCCTATGGATTATTCTGTCCTTGATTTATATCAAATTTGTTTATAGATACTATTAATTGGATTAGATCAAAGTTAATATAATTAAAGCTATGATGATCATATTGACATGAGTCATGTCACAGGAAAAAAGAAAAAAAAATAGCTTGATAATATTTTAGAGACAGGAGGAACTCAAAAATTAAAAGGAAAGAGCTTAGAAACGCCTAATTGATCATCTGAAGAAATCGGACAAGTGTGGCAGACCCTACTGCCAACAAGAGGTGCAGTCATCGTCACAACTCTTCTAGGTGCATAGTTCCGATTTAGAGCACTAAATCGAAAGCTCTAAAAGCACCACTAAGGAGCTGGCAGCCAACAAGGTAAGATGAAGAATATTTGCATATATGGTGCGTGTGTTTCACGCACTGTGTACAAAATAATAATAATAATAATTTACTTCTTCCCGCTCTAATGCTCAATTTTCAAGATCTATTCTAGCCGTCCCTCTCCTCCACCGTCCGGCATCTTCTTCATCCTCCACCGTCTGACGTTCGCTGCCTCCCTCTCTCGCTTTGAATCCGTAGAATTGTCGTCCGACGTCACTCTCCTCCACCGTCCGGCGTCTTCCTCCGACTTGGACTTCCACACTCCTCTAGGTCAGTTTGTCTCTCTATGTTATGTCTTCTCTGTTTCAATGTTCTTATACATATATATATACATACATATATATACATATATACACAATAGGAAATCTGTGTTCAAATAGATTTTTAATACCAAAAGTCATTATTTGGAACAAACAAAGTTGAAATAGATTTTGAACACAGATGTGCAACACATATTTTTGAACACATTTTCAACATAGATTTTGAGTACGTCAGAGCTCAATCTGTTTTTTGGAAAGTCAATCTGTTATTTTGTTTTGCAATTTGTTTGGAAACTTATGTTTTTCAATCTTTTTTTTTTGTTTGGAAATTGTAATCAAATTGAAATACCAGAGCTTGCATCATTAATTAATTTTTAGAAGAAAAAATATATATATTGAAAGGGTACTCCAGAGCTGTTTTTTAATACCAAAAAAATTGCTTTTCAAAAGCAAAAGTCATTTTGTTTTTAGACTTGCATTGTTGATGAATATTGGACTGTAATTTTTGAATGAGTAGAAATGGAGATTGATTCAAATAGTGGTGAGAATCTTTTATTAAATGAGTGAAGAAGTTGAGGAACCTATGAGGGGTATGTGTTTTAGCTCAAAGTAAGAAGTGTACACATTTTATGCTAAATATGCTAAACATGTTGGATTTTTCATAGCTTATAAAACACAAGTTTGTGGCGATGATGGGGAATTAAGATATTTTGGGATTGAATGTTCTCGATCGGGAAAGAGAACCAAAAAATCAAAAGTAAACCCTCTAAAGCCATCTCTGTCCGCAAAAATTGATTGCAAAAGCAAGGGTACGAGCGATCTTACAAAAGAATATGAGGTTTATGTTAACCACAATTAACTTTGACCATAATCATGACTTGATTCCCACCGACTCACGTCATTTTGCAATGAATAAGAAAATTCTTACTCCTGTGAAGCGAAGATTAAAATTAATGATCAAGCAGGGATTGGGGTGTCTAGGAATTATAACTCAATGGTTGTTGAAGCTGGAGGTTATGAGTCATTAACATTTGATGAGTGAGATACAAGGAATTACATTGACAGTGCAAAAAGATTGAGGCTTGGAGAAAGAGATGCCGATGCACTTCAAAAATATTTTTTGAGGATGCACGCTCAAAATTCGAGTTTCTATTACATGATTGATGTTGATACTGATTTTCGCATTAGAAACTTGTTTTGGGTAGATGTAATGAATCGGTCGGCTTATGAAGAATTTGGAAATATTGTTTCGTTTGACACAACTTATCTTACTAACAAATATAATATGCCATTTGCTCCATGTGTAGGAGTTAACCACCATGGACAGTTGATTTTGCTTGGTTGTCGGTTGTTATCTAGTGAAGACATTGATATATTTGTTTGGTTATTCAAATCATGGTTAAATTGTATGTCAAATTATCCTCCAAAAGCTATAATAACTGATCAATGCAAAGCTATGCAAAATGCTATAGAAATTGTCTTCCCAAATACTCGACATCGATGGTGTTTATGGCATATAATGAAGAAAATTTCGGAGAAAGTGAAAGGCTATTCCCAATATGAATCTATGAAGTTGGCTTTACAAAATGCAGTGTATGACACTTTCACAAAAGATGAATTTGAGATGAGATAGAAATAGATGATTGCAAAATTTAATCTTTATGAGAATCAATGGTTGGGAGTATTATATGATGAGCGACATCGATGGGTTCCGTTTTATGTGAAAGACATTTTTTGGCCTGACATGTCAACTACACAATGAAGTGAGAGCATGAATACCTTTTTTGATGGATATGTCAACCCGAAGACTACATTAAAGCAATTTGTTGAACAATATGAAAATGCCTTCAGAAATGAGGTAGAGAAAGAAAAGAAAGCTAACTTCAAGTTTCGACAAAAAGTGTTTGATTGCCTAACTGTGTATGGTTTTGAAAAACAATTTCAAGATGCCTACACCAATGCAAAATTCAAAGAAGTGCAAGCAGAGATGAAGAGACTACTTTATTGTCAGTCATGTCTTGTGAAAGAGGAGGGTTCAATTTGCACATACTTTGTGAAGGAAGCCGTGGTAGTTTTGGGAAGATGAAGCATGTGGACTTTATTGTGTATTATAATTCGACTGAAGTTGATGTTCAATGTATGTGTCGCTTGTTTGAATTTAGGGGTATCATATATGCTCACTCACTCGTTATGCTCATTGCAAGATGCATAAATGAGGATCCAAATAAATTCATTCTACCACGATGGAGAAAAGATTTGGATAGAAGGTACACATGCATCAAAACCACATACACTGGCTTTGTGGATGATTTCAATGCAATGGTTTATGATAAGATGAACAAAAAATTGATTGGCATTGTACAAGTAGCTGGGAACTCTGAAGGCAAAATCAAAATTATCGACCGTGAGTTGGATGAAATGAAGGCAAGAGTGATGAAAGATGATGAAGGTGATGGGAGTAATGTACCAGCTTCTACTAGTAATGTGCTATCTATTACTAATAATGTACCATCTTCCTTGATTCGGAGCATTAATAGAAAAGCAATCAGTAATACGAAGTTGCTTAGTCCTTCGGTTGCTCGCCGAAAAGGTCGTACAGTTACCAAACAAAAGGTCGCCAAAGTAGATCAAATAGTGAATCGGTTGAAAGCAAGCAAAACAAAACATAACAAACCAAAGGTAAATTTCATGGTAGTCTCTATTTATTTTTCAATATTGTATAATTTCTCTCTATTGAGCTTATCGTTGATCTCTACTCATTCATCTTGGTTAATATAGGGTACTAAGGTGCATGGAGCTGAAGCTCAATCTTAACCTCAACCTCAACCTAGTGCACGTAGAGAGCTTTATCCATGTATCGTTGGCATGCAAATTAGTATGTATGTGTCAGCACATGTACATAATATGAATTTACATCGATCGATTTATTTTATTTGTCAACAATACATGGTAAATTGTTTTTTTCATGTTATTGTAATTGAATAGAGAGAAATGGTAAATGCGATTGGAGGCACACCCGAAAGTATGGACATTATGAGAAGACAAAGTTTGAGGATTGCTCCAACCCAGATTTATAGAGTCAACACATCTTTTACCCCATCGGAATGTATTGGAGGCACACCGGGAGTTATTGACATGATGCAAACTCAACAATCCATGAGTGCTGCGAATCAAATTTATGGAGCCCTACCGTCTTCTTTTGTTGACTTCAATGTACACATGGACTGAAATGAGTCTCATTTTTGTTAGTTGGAAACTTGTAATTTTAACTTGGAGTTTATTTTGTGGTGGGAGTAATTTAATGCATCTTTATTTGTTACTTGATAGAGCATAATTTATGAGATTTATAGAAATTTGATGTTGCTTTGTTGTTATATTTGCAGTCTTGAAAAACCTGTCTTCTAAAACTGTATTCAAAGACCTGTGTGGAAAAATTTGTGTTGAAAAAGCTATGTTCAAAATATTTGTGTTAAAAAATCTGTTTTCAAAAACTTTCTTCAAAAACCTGTGTCCAAAAATCTTACTTCAAAAACTGTGTTAAAAAACCTATGTGAAAAAATCTGTGCTCAAAAAGCTATGTTCAAAATTTCTATTAAAAAATCTGTGTTGAAAAACCCGTCTTCAAAAACTTATGTCCAAAAACCTGTCTTCAAAATCTATGTTGAAAAACCTGTGTCCAATAATCTGTGTTCAAAAACTTGTGTCCAAAAATCTGTCTTCAAAAACTGTGTTAAAAAAACTATGTTCAAAATATCTATCCAGAAATTTGTGTTAAAAATTATGTGTTCACAATCTATGTTGAAAAAGCTGTCTTCAACCTGTGTTCAATCATTCTTCAAACAAATAAACATATAACAACCTGTGTGCAAACATTCTTGAAACAAACAAACATATATCAACCTGTGTCCAAAAATTCTTCAAACAAACAAACATATAACAAACTGTGTTCAATCAAACATATAACAACCTGTGTTCAATCATTCTTGAAACAAACAAACGTATAATAACCTGTGTTCAATCATTCTTCAAACAGACAAACAGATAACAGATTACATCTTCATTCTTCTCAAAAATAACTATCATATATCATAAATCTTCATACATATTATCTATTTCAACTTCTAACTTTCATATAAATTATTACATCTTCAAAACTAATACAACACCAATTACAAGGAAGAGGAAGATCTCATAAATACAACACCAACTTCGATTTATATCTGTCTGCAATTTTTGCATCTACGCGCTCTAAAATTGAAGTTGTTTGCTTTGAAATCGAAGGTGTTCGCCCATACTTCGAAGTTGTTCGGTGACAGTTGCTATATTGTCCATTTGCACTTGTCCTTCATGTCTACAATGTAAATTTGTTGGCAAGCACCATCCAAGAAAAGCACTGCAATCATGACAACAATAAAATAACTTGTTTTTGTTTGCTCCGTCTCAGAAATTCGAATAATTGCTTTTTTTCGACAATTAGGACAATTTTTGTTCAAATATGTCAAATGATCTGAGGTACTGCCGCTAACACTTAAAGTTGGCATCTACAAAAATATGAAGCCAAATCTCAATCAGTTAGAGATTGTCTCAATATGCAAAACAGATAGAGGAACATGGAGTACAATGTGCTTATCAACATGGTATGACTAGGTAGACTTGTATCAAATACAATCTTGGAATGTATTAAAGCACTTATAATCACATAAATGGAAATTGGAAGATAAGTGCACACGGTACCCATAGATTATAGTATGCTATCATACAGTACTACTCACTCTATATACAAATTTCCACCAAAATCCTAAGATTTATTAATAACTTGAAATCAAAATACATATAGTCTAACACTAGCCAATTACTGATGGGCAATCAAGGATGTTCACAAGGGCAGAACTGAACATAGGTGGCAGTTTTATAGAATCCAGCTTGCCTCCTAAACATGTCTATACAAGTGTGTTTGTGCTTAAGCACAAGGTTTTATTGGCAACATCTATCGATATCAACACATGCCTCCAAACTCCCTACCAAAATAGATAAGCTCATTTTTCTACAAAGTATCAAGTTCTCCAAGCGTTTACAGCTATACTGCATTAACTTAGGAGATGGTAGTATCAGGGATATGCAGTCCTATCTTCACTTAGCAAAAGGAGCAAGAATAAACTCCAATATACCAATTTAAATAATCAAGGGCAGAAATGGCAAACCAATTCAAGAACACTGAAATACAGGGCAAAGATAGCCATGTAAGTAATTGATGTTCTATGCCTCATTTCTAGATCTTTTCCAAGATAGCTAAAATTGTTTTTTTAGAACAATAGTTTTTCTATTCAAAGATATGTTAAAAAGTGCAAATTGGTAAAGCACTAGCTCATTCCAAGAAAAGTCAGCACACTAGTCACTGGTGGATAAGTAGTTGTCCTTTTCTTTGCTCAAAAGTCTGAAAATATGATCTGGATAAAGAGTCACTCTAAATAACTACACCACTCTAAATAACTATCTATTAAGTAAACAATGTTTAGCACCTAGTTATTCCAGTAATACTGAATCAAGAAAATTGTTTTACTTATTGAGATTAGAAGCTCAAGAAGATTAACACATTCATGCACTGAGCTTTAGCTGTGGACTGGAATTGCAATAACATCTTCAAGGGTCATTGTTTGCAAATGCTTGGTGTTGTTTTTCATATTCTTCTGTCAAATTATGTTGTATAGTAATTGAATTAAAGCCTTCTTGATTCCCTATAGACTTGAGAGAAGGATTCAGACTTGAATTCTAGTTAAATGGTTTTATTTATTTACTTAGGTTAGTTATTTTATTCATTAAAAGGAGCAAAAGAAAGTGTGAACCATGCAGATGGGAAGAACACAAGAGCTCCTTAAAAGCTAGCCCTTTTTAGAGCTTAAGTCTCTTTAAAAATTTGCAACCTAGGAAAATTTTTTTAGCACCACCAAAATTGGAATGAGTTGAGTATGACATTTTTCTAATTGAGGAATCCTTATCTCTATTATCAATATCCCCAAATTTCATGCATTTACAAAAAAAATATATACATTTATCCTTAATTACCTAACAATTCATAGGGCATTATCTGTCACAGCCTAATAGTTAACCTTAAAACAGATTTTTCAGCACAAATTTCAACTAATACAACAGCTATAAATTTCAGCACCCTTATAAACCCTAGTAGCATCAGTCACAGTGCCCATTACTACAGCTAATCCATTGTAAAATTCGGGCAAATCAAAATTAAAATCCTCTTAAACAGATCAATGTATAGTCAAAGTCACAAAAATCTCAACAAATCAACGCATCAGTGCTACAAAGCATTAGGTGAGACACGATCGAGACGACGATTGAGAAACTCACAACGACCGAGTCTCTCTTCGTCTTCCAGATACTCCTGAAGACTGAATTGCTATCCATCTTCCTGCCAGACTTGCTTTCTGTCTTCCCACCGGACTCGCTTCTCTCAACTCCGTGTTTGTTTTGGACAGATTTGTTTTCTCGATTGGTCATATCTCTCTCTCTCTCTATATATATATATATGCGTTGATTTGTTGAGATTTTTGTGACTTTGACTATACATTGATCTGTTTAGGAGGATTTGGATTTTGATTTTGATTTTGATTTGCCTGAATTTTACATTGAATTGGCTGTAGTGGTGGGCACTGTGACTGATGATACTAGGTTTATAAGGGTGCTGAAATTTGTAGCTGTTGTATTAGCTGAAATTTGTGCTGAAAAATCTGTTTTAAGGTTAACTATTAGGCTGTGACAAATAATGCCCTATGAATTGTTAGGTAATTGAGGATAAATGTATATAATTTTTTTTTGTAAATGCCTGATATCTGGGGATATTGATAAGGAGCTAGAGATAAGGATTCCTCAATTAGAAAAATGTCATACTCAACTCATTCCAGTTTTGGTGGTGCTAAAAAAAATTTCCTAATTTGTAAATTTTTAAGAAGACTTAAGCTCTAAAGGGGGCTAGCTTTAGAGGAGCTCATGTGTTCTTCCCATCTGCATGGTTCACACTTTATTTTGCTCCTTTTAATGAATAAAATTACTAACCTAAGTAAATAAATAAAACCATGTAACTAGAATTCAAGTCTGAATCCTCCTCTGAAGTCTATAGGGAATCAAAAAGACTTTAATTCAATTACTATACAACATAATTTGACAGAAGAATATGAAAAACAACACCAAACATTTGCAAACAATGACCCTTGAAGATGTTATTGCAATTCCAGTCCAAAGCTAGGGCTTAGTGCATGAATGTGTTAATCTTCTTGAGCTCCTAATCTCAATAAGTAAAACAATTTTCTTGATTAAGTATTACTGGAATAACTAGGTGCTAGAGATTGTTTACTTAATAGATAGCTATTTAGAGTGGTGTAGCTATTTAGAGTGACTCTTTATCCAGATCATATTTTCAGACTTTTGAGCAAAGATAAGGACAGCTGCTTATCCACCAGTGACTAGTGTGCTGACTTTTCCTGGAATGAGCTAGTGCTTTTACCAATTTGCACTTTTTAACATATCTTTGAATAGAAAAACTATTGTTCTAAAAAAATAATTTCAGCTATCTTGGAAAAGATCTAGAAAGGAGGCATAGAACATCAATTACTTACATGGTTATCTTTGCCTTGTATTTCAGTGTTCTTGAATTGGTTTGCCATTTCTGCCCTTGATTATTTAAATTGGTATATTGGAGTTTATTCTTGCTCCTTTTGCTTAATGAAGATAGGACTGCATATCCCTGATGCTACCATCTCCTAAGTTAATGCAGTACAGCTGTGAACGATTGGAGAACTTGATACTTTGTAGAACAATGAGTTTATCTATTTTGGTAGGGAGTTTGGAGGCATGTGTTGATATCGATAGATGTTTCCAATAGAACCTTGTGCTTAAGCACAAACACACTTGTATAAACATGTTTAGGAGGCAAGCTGGATTCTATAAAACTGCCACCTATGTTCAGTTCTGCCCTTGTGAACATCCTTGATTGCCCATCAGTAATTGGCTAGTGTTAGACTATATGTATTTTGATTTCAAGTTATTAATAAATCTTAGGATTCTTGTGGCAATTTGTATGTGGAGTGAATAGTACTGTATGTTAGCATACTATAATCTATGGGTGCTATGTGCAATTATCTTCTAGTTTCCATCTATGTAATTATAAGTGCCTTAACACATTCCAAAATTGTATTTGATACAAGTTTGCCTAGTCATACCATGTTGATAAGTACATTGTACTCCATGTTCCTCTATCTATTTTGCATATTGAGACAATCTCTAACTGATTGAGATTTGGCTTCATAT